TTCTAGGTCCATCCATGTTATTCTAGGTGGCAAAAGTTCATTCTTTTTTTAATGGCTGAGTCATACTTCATTGCATATATGTACTATTTCTTTATTCATCTGTTGATGGGAACTCTGACATTATTGTGACATTATTTTAAAAATATATTTAATGGAGTGAAAATGTAATGATTTTGTATCTACCTTAAACTATTCTAAAAATCATGAGCTTACCTGTCTTTAATGATCTAAAATGCTATATAGTACTTTTCTTTTCTTGAATTACTAGTTATATTCTACTTTCCTTACAGAGTAATGCTAATAACATCTAGTTTTATTGATCAACCAGTGCAATTAAACTGTGTGCATACATTTAAATATTTAAAATTTCCTGGGTCCATAAGGAAATTTAAAAATATATATTCACATTTAACATATTGAAAGATAATTTGTTAAATGTGAAATTAAAAATCTGTTTTATTTTTCTCCAACTATATAAATATATCCATATATGAGTGTTACTTGGTAGAATGAATGGAATACAAGCACCATTATTTTTTCTTATTTTTTATTTTTATAGAAGTAAATGCTGAGAATTATTTTCACATAAATCAAAGATGAGGGTGGGAGGAGTTTCTTATAGCAATATCTCTCTATTCTTTGAACTCCTTCTGAGTTATTTGAATAAAAACTATATATTAATCTATCATCAAAATATTTTTAATAATCTCTCAGTGAATAAGCAATTAGGTCTCCTATAAGTTTTCTTGAAAGTAAAGACTACAGTGCTAGAGAAATATCTTTGGATGTCAGGCACAGGCATTGGTAGGAGCACATTTGAGCCTAATGCTTGGTTATTCCTGTTGCGCGTGGGTCACCGGCCAGCAGTGACCACGGAACGCTGTGGATGGCTCGACGATAAACACGCGAGAAATAACGACACATGCACAGAGACAGACTAGTTTCTGTGGGGAAGTAGGGACGAAATGGCCACCCCCCTAGTGGGGAGCGCGCTGATTTACCGTCCATACCTGCTTTTATTGGGCTCATTTTGCATAATAATTCAGGTAAAGTACAGTACTCATTTGGGGAAGTAAGGAACTATAGAAAACAAAGAACTCTGCCCGTCTATTGAGTTGGGGGTCAAAGAGCTGTAAGGCTGAGGAACAAACTAGCTTCCTCCTAAGACCCTTCTCATTCAACTGAGAGCATTCCAAACAAAGAAGGTTTCACAGTAATTTACATGTTCTTTCTTAGGCCTGATCACCCTGGGAAATCCGCACTTCCCAGTACCGAGCTGTACTACCCTGTCATTGTTTCAGGCTTAGGTGAAGCACGGGAACTAAGGCCACCGAGAGATAAGGAGATTTTCTTCCGGATGGACGCTGAGAACTCAGACTTTGTCAAAGCCGAGGAGTGAGGGTCCATCACCCCTTTTTGCTGCAGCCCCCCAAGTCCTTCTTTTGGGGGGCCTCCCAAAGTGATCGTGCCTGGCTTGGGTTGTTCCCCCCATGGGGAATCTTACCCGTCTTTGGCTAACTGACCAAGCTTTTTGGGGTTCAGCAGCAGAAGCAGCATTCCTGCCAGGGAGATAAGCTTTTATCTCCTTGCCGGCTTACAGTTCCAAGGGCGTTCCCTTAGCCTTAGCTTAGGCGGGGGTTTCAGCTTCTGATACCAGTCAGGGCGGTTCCCAACATATTCCATCTATAATGTACCCCCCAGAGAAGGAGACAGTTGCTTTTAGTTAGGGTTGAACTTTTATTAGATGTATGTTGACTACAAGTCATAAGCAGTATGAAGTAATACATGGTAGAATTCAAACTGTACAAGGGAAATGGTGAGAGAAGACTGCTAATGGATTGAGAAAAAGTGGAGGGGAGAACATAAAGGGAGGGCTTTTTCAGGTGGAAGATTGGTTGGAGTTGAAATGGCAAACAAGTAAAAGAAGAAATTGTGATCAGATGTGTGAATTGGGAGTTTTGGAGGTGGGACAGTTATAATGTGAAGTTCATGGAAATAGTAGGCCATGGTGTCAAAAGGGTTGTCCATGTTGATATTATAAGGAAGAAAGGGCTTAAAGAAAGGGTGTGAGGCAGGCGTCAACAGGTTTGAGCAATGAAAGAAAGGTTGGTACAGGAGAACAACAAAAAGAATCAAAAGATGCTCTTGAAAGCTGAAGGAGCCTTCTTTATTTACAAGGAGCTACGGGATAAATGGTTTGGAAATGGCCATGGTGGCTACATAATGCACCAAACTCATTGCCTGAGCCTGGTGTGTGAATACCTGCCATTTGAGAAGCAGTGGGGAAGCCATGTCCTCAGCATAGAGCCCCAGCTATTAGGAGGGAGAAACTCAGAACTTACATTGAAGGCAGAGGGGAAGGGCAGAAATAGAAGGTCACAGTGAAGGGTTTTGGTAAGTGGAGAGTAGTGGGAGCTCAGTCAGGGACAAGAAGGATGGAGCTTTAATGAAAATAATGATACAGATCAAGATCCTTGGTGTTTACATGAGGAGCAGGTGAATTCTAGCTTGAATGTCCGCTGAAGGTAACAGGAAAGACAGTGGGTGGGTTTATTCTAGTGGTCTTTAAGGAGTTGGGCTCTTGCCTAACTAATAAAAATCTGCTGTAAATTGATAAAAGGTATGTCTTGTTTGGTTAGAATAATTGAGGCTTACATGTTGCAGACATTCTAAATTACTATTTTAATTACTTTTGCTTTTTTATCATTGGGATTATTTCTGCATCTATTTTATTAAATAACAGATGACATTGGCTTATAATTTTTGCTCTCTGTTTGCATGTATGTGTTTATGAATGTGTTGTGTATACTTTATCAGGTTTCGTATGAGGATTATGCTGATTTTGTAAAAATGGAGAGGTGTGTACTCTTTTCCATGCCCTGGGGCTCTTTACCCTGCACAGATATTATCCGTTCTTTGTAAGCTGGAAAGAAATTAGCTGAGAAATTCTCTAAATGTGTGCTGTTCAATGTAGTATGTTAAGCACTTGAGATGTGGCAAGACTATGAATTAAAGTTTTAATTTTTGTAATTTCTTGTTTTTTATTTTAAATTTAATTTTCCACTTAAGAATTGATAGTCATCTCAGTTTTGGAAATCTTTTAAGTGCTTTTGGATCAATCTGGGTATGTGAATCTACTTTTTGTAAATTATATAAAATCTAAGTATAAGATAAAATATATTTTTAAAGACTTTATTTATTTATTTTTTAGAGAGGGAAGGGAGGGAGAAAGAGAGACAGAGAGAAACATCAATGTGTGGTTGCTGGGGGTCATGGCCTGCAACCCAGGCATGTACACTGACTGGGAGATAAAATATTTTTGATGAAAATTTAGTTACCCAGTTGAAATATACTTTAAATGCAAATGCAAAACACACCCAGGAATTTAAAGACTAAATAACCCCAGCAAAATAAAATTAATAACTTTATGTTGATTCTTGTCGGCATGCTAATCTTTTATCATGGCCACCTATGCTGTTAAATAAAACATTTTAAAATTAATTTTACCTGTTTTGTCTCAAACATTTAGTGTGGCTATTAGAAAAGTTAAAGTTACATGTGCATTTGTGACGGACGTAATATTTCTAATAGGCAGCATGGTTCTGAACCATATGATTTCCTAAAGAGTTAGTAAAACTTCTCAGTTTCTTCTAGAGTTAGTTCATTCAGTTTTCCTACCTCTCTGGAATATAGTTAGATCATTTATATTTCTCTCAAAGTCATTTATTTCAAATGTATTTTCAAATGTGGAAATATCATGTTTTACAAATATTTTATTATTAATTGTTTTAATAGTAAATCAGTTCTGAGATATAGTAATAAATTGTTTTGTGGGTTTTGATTAATTTTGTGTCTGCTTTGATATTTATTTATTTGAATATATTTTTTGAATCATCAAATTACTTTTCCTTATTTGTAGAAATTACGTCTTCATTTTCTCTTCTAAAAATATTCTAATTTTTTAGAAAGGGTAGCTTTAATGAATAAGAAAGTTAACATTTATTTTATTTTAGTTCTACAAATTATTTTTTGCAGTATATTGCCTTCTGATTAATTAGATACATTTTATCTACAGTTTTTTTCAGCATTTCATGTTCCATGAAATGATTTTTCTCACAGTATTGCATTTTTAAAAAATGAAACAAGGCATTTTTTCCTTGCCCTGTCTTGCTTTGCAAGCCATTTTTATAGAGAAAGCAATCACACTATACTTAAATTATCAGCATCAGGTATAATGTATCTAGCATTTAACACATTCCAAGGGTGTGCTAACTTCTTTACTGAAATGATCGCAAGGCCTCACAATAGCCTTGTAAAGTGTGTACTGGTGTTACCCCCTGTTTGCAGAGGGGAAACCAGACCAAGAGAGATTAAGAGACCATCGAGGTTTCCAACCTTCGGCCCATGGGTTTCAGACCTCACAAATCTAATAGAAGCAATCGCTATGTTCATGTCTGTGACGTAGTACTAGAAGAATACTGCAGACGACTACTATCAGAACATCAACCTAGTACATGCTAAAACTCAATTGTCAGGCAACTATGAGCAATTATTAGTGTTAATAAATTACCCCATCAGGCACTACTGCAGTACTCTGAACTTGAGTTTCCCATAATAGCCTAACAAAAATCTCTTAGTCCTCTGCAGTGAGGTATACTTTCTATAAACAACTGTTTTCTTTAATCCTTGTCAGGGGTGGGGAAGAAATAAATGTCAGTTAACCATTTTAAACACCCTGTATCTTCAAATCAGAATTTTTGAAGTCTTATTTATACCTACAGAATGCCAGAAAAGGAGAAATAACATGCAGTTTACTTTGCTGGGCAGCCAAAGGCAAGCAACTGCCTTTTGCCTCTAAACTCAATCCCACTTGGTATCAAATACTTTTTAAAATTAACTCAGCTACAGTATCTCTTTTAAAAAGATTTATGTATTTAGTAGCAATGAGTGACTATGTATGGTTCATTAATTTGTGATTCTTTCCTTTCTTTATTTTAAAGATAGTGTTTTTAGAAGAAGCATCTCAACAAGAAAAGCTGGCCAAAGAATGGTCCTTCAAGCCATGTGATATCAGAGAACTGAGCCGCCAGTAAGTCATCACCAACTTCTCCCCCTTTGTGGATGCCATTAACTCGTCTCAAATGATAAGAAAGATGCCTCGAGAGACAGAGAGGCTTTTTAAATTCTTTAAGGTGTGAGGTGTGAAGGAGGAGACAGATAAAGAGGGGAAGCTGAAGGACACGATAAAAGTTTTGAGTACTAGAGGCTGCCGTTGTTTGTGTAATCCTTCAGCAAATATTTGTTGAGCTTAGTATGTACACAGACTAGGATCTGGGGGTGAAAATCGTTTACTAAGTCTTTGCCTTCGCAGAGTTGACAGCCCCTGGGGAACACAGAGTGTGAACAAGTGCACGGATACGTAAGCATGATAGTGATGGGTGGTATACCTTCTGTAGAGGAAATAAAGCAAGGTAGAGGTAATTGTTGGGAGGGTAGGAGGGCACTTTGGGGAGCAATTGCTCTGATGGCATGGTTAGTTGGTAAGACCTATTTCTGAAAGTGCATTTGAGCTGTGATTTTATGTTCCAAGTGCTTTTAGTAGTTTTTTAATAATTTGTTCAAAATCTGTTTCTTGTGGTTGACTCACCAGATCCTGCTAGAAACAATTCTGCCTCGTACACTGTGATGTAAGTCTGTCCTGAATATTAACCTCACCTGTGAACAGGTGTTTTCTGTTATTTCATTCTCTAGATCACTGCTTCAATCCTCAGTTTTATCCAACCTGCTGTTGATTTCTTCTAGTGGGTTCATTTCAGATTTTGTTCCACTTCTTGGAATACACTCAAAGACACTATTGTGGAAGAATATTTATACTCCTATGTTCATTGCAGTACTATTTGTGATATCCAAGATTTGGAAGCAGCCCAAGTGCCGATCAATAGATGAGTGGCTAAAAAAGCCCTGGTACATTTATTTACACAATGGAATACGCAGATGTTAAAAAGAAGGACATCTTACCTTTGGTGACAGAGTGGATGGGTCAGGAGAGTATTATGCTAAGTGAAATAAGCCAGTCAAAGAAAGGCAAATACCATATGATTTCACTTATACATGGAATCTAATTAACAAAATAAACACAGAAACACACTGATAGATACAGAGAACAGATACGCAGCTATCAGCGGAGAGGGTGATTAGGGGGCTAGGCAAAATAGGTGAAGGAATTAAGCAAAAAAGTAAAAATAAAACAAGCTCATAGTATAGTGATTACCAGAGGGAAAGCAGGGTGGAGAGAGGTAGAAGAGGCTAAACAGGAGACGAATGGTGATAGGAAATTAAGCTTTAGGTGGTGAACACACAATACAATATTCAGGTGATGTATTATAAAACTGTACACTTAAAACCACAATAAATTCAATTAAAAAAACAAGCGGCCCAAATAAACCTTGTTGTGTCCAACTGCTAAAGAGGGGAAAAAGGAGAGGAATGTTCAAGTTTTAGTTCTGTTCTTCCCTCTACAGAAACCTCTGGCCCCACCAGCTTCTAGGGTTACCTACACCGAGGAGACTCATATCTGAATCCTATCTTTAGCTCTTCTGTGACCTCTTACCTCACATTTCCAATTGCTTTTAAAAAACTTGAGGGTCGTACTTTGACTCAAGGCTTAATATGACATCACCGTTCCCTCAAATGGGATTTTCTTCTAAATTCTTTGACTTTATGTCATATGTTCAGCCTCACATGCTCAAAACTTACTCTCTTTGACTCATTTCTCTCCTTTGCTTCTTAATTAAAGATGAAGTTCTTTCTCTCATATTCATTTCCTTTTTTTCTGTCACCATAATCTCTATTCAGAAATCTCATGTTTTAGAGATTGAAAGAGTCTTTTCACACATGCCTGCCACCATCAGATCTTCTAAACCAGATGTTTAATATGTGACAGTTCTACCAAGAAAATAAAAAATAGAGAAATGCACATCCTCATGATTTCCTTACTCTTGGCTATAGAATAACAAATATAGGTTGATTCACTAAGTTGAGTATTCAAGACCCTTTCTAAAAAAAGTTTTCTATTGTTATTATTTAGAAAACATTTAATATAGTAAAATGCATAGGTCTTAGGTATAATTTAATAAAGCTTTATAAATATATACCTATGTAACCAACATGCCAATCAAGATTCCTCTCATCCCAGAAAATTGCCTTGTGCCCCTCTGGTCACACTCCAGCCCCCATAGACAACCCCGTCTGGTCTCTGTCACATAGATTACTTCTGCCTGTTTTTGAATATCATGTAAATGGGATAACTCAATATGTGCTCTTTTGTGTCTGGACTTTTCCACCTATCATAATGTTTCTGAGATGCACTCACACTGTTATATATAGCAGTAAGTAGTTCATTCTTTTTCACCACTGAATAATATTCCATTGTATTAATATACCAAAGTTTATCCATTTTCCTGTGGTATTTAGATTGTTTCCAATTTGAAGCTGCTATGAACATTCTTTTTTTACTATTTCATTTGGGTAAATTACTAGGCATGAAATTGCTCACTTAAACCCTTTATACTTTGACCACTATACGTATCCCTTTTTTTATACCTCCTGTCTCTCTCTCTCTCTCTCTTTCTCCCTCTCTCTCTCACACACACACACACACACATACACACAAGCCCTTACTCACCCCTAATCTCCTAACTAGGTTATAATCTCTTTGAGGACAACAAGATGCCTTCTTTCTCTAAAAACTCCACAAAGCTTAGTAGAGATTTTAAAACATATTAGAAAATTGGGAAATAATATTTAATTGAACAATTCAAGTATTTGAGGAAGTCACACTTCCATTCCATTTTATGGTGGTAGAGACACAAGGATTGAAGAGGTCAGTGACTAACACCTACAGGGAATTCATATTTCACCCTCCCTCTCTGCATGCCCCCTCAGCACTGCCTTTTTGCCTTGCTCACATGTTGTCACTACTCTTCATTTTGAAATTGAACGAACAGTTCTGACACATGGAGAGTAATGGCCAAGGGTCCTGAGTCACTGACAACTGCCATGGTTTGAATCTAGTTGACTAGCTGAATAATTACTTTTTTCAAGCTAGTTAAATTTCCTGAGCTGCAGTTTACTCTTATGTAAATGAAGATAACAATATTACTTCATAGATTTGTTGTATTACATCATCATCACAACTAATATTTTTTGAGTGTTTTCCATCCTCTAAGTACTGTTTTTACACATGCTAACTCATTCCTCACAACAGCCCTGTTCATGGCACTCCTATCTCCACTTTACATAGGGGACACTGATCCACAGTGAGATTGAATTACATGTTGAATATCCCACTGCTGGTTTATGGTTGGGCATGAATTCAAAATCAGGCAGCCTGAGTCAAGAATGTATATACTAAACCCCTGTACTAAAAAAATAAGATGGTGCATATAGAATGCTGTGCCCAGTGTCCAGTACATGTACATCTTCAGTAAACATTACCTGTTGTCACCATCGTCATTATCATTATTGTTTCCAGTTATCATTTAAAAAAAATAAAGCATTTATAGATACCCATGTCTTTATTTGTTTTCTACTGAGGTGGTATACATTTGAATTGGTAGTATAAGGAATTTTTTGTTAGGTCAAGTTTTGAGTTCAAATGCTTTATATATATAAAAAATATAGTATTTATTTGGGGTGATGGTGGTACATAGTATCTTTTAACAAATATCTGTTACGATGACATTAAACACAATAAATACTGATGAACAGAAATAGTTTTTTTTTTAAAGATTTTATTTATTTATTTTTAGAGAGGGAAGGGAGGGAGATAGAAAGAGAGAGAAATATGAATGCGCGGTTGCTGGGGGTCATAGCCTGCAACCCAGGCATGTGCCCTGACTGGGAATCGAACCTGCAACACTTTGGATTGCAGCCCATGCTCAATCCACTGAGCTCCGTCAGCCAGGGCAAGAAATAGTTTTTTTAAAAAAGCTTTAAATATCTCTTAGCACTGGGCTACCTCAGTTCTGTGGGTAGTGCCTCTGAAAACTCTTAGAAACATCTTTCCAGGGTTTTTTGTTAGAAGAGTTCATAGAAAAGTAAAAATTGATTGGTGGATCAGGGTAATAGCAGGCGTGATCAGAAGCCTCACCTAGCATTGCAATAGTATCTTCACGTCTCCTCTTCAGTTATCCTTAGTGGCTTGTGTCTAATTCCTCAGCATGACTCTAGAAGATTTGAAGACCACCTCTCTCATCATTTTTTCCCTGCCTTACAACCCTAACTTGTGAGAGCAAAGTCATAGAATGAAAGCACCGCTTCACTCCTTTCTTGTGCTCTGACTGCTCTGCTTCTGTCCAGCGCTGTGCTTTTCCCTCCCTTCTTCATCTGTGGTTAACCTCATACCAGACATTCAAGTTAGGAGCTATGTCTTTCTGGGCAGAGCTTCATTTTGATTTCTTGACCTCTAAATAAGAGGAGAATTTATTCATCTGATGGCTTCAGCTCTAAACCTATGGGGGTGAACAGTTCAATCAATGCCAAGAGAAAACATGATTTAAAGATACAGAAAATGCCTAAGGATGCTGTTTCTCTCATCTTCATTTTCAGTGAGTTCTTCATGCCCGGACTGGTTGATACACACATCCATGCCCCTCAGTATTACTTTGCTGGGAGTCATATGGACCTGCAGCTTCTGGAGTGGCTGACCAAATACACATTTCCTACGGAACTCAAATTCAAGAGCAATGATTTTGCAGAAGAAGTATACACTAGAGTTGTTGTAAGTATCCTACTTGTGAGACTCGGTGTACTATGTTTGGTCACTTGTAGAAACATTCATTTCTTGGGGCAAATTTTAAGTGTAAAACACAGGCAGTTAAGGCTAGAATGGACCATTGAGATTTTCTCAGTCTTTCACAGCCCAGAGAGTTTGTGACCACCTCACTACAGAGCTTGTCACTAGCAACAAGAGGATTTGAGTTCGAATTCCCAAGCCCCCAGTCTGGTGGGCTCTCATGACTCTCTGTCTTTTACTTTTAGTGTTTTACTTTACTAAATTTGGGTTTAATGCATATGTGTGTTCTCTTACTCCTGTTAATCTACAACACTGTTCTGGAGACCATATGGAATAGCTGCACAACCTTTGGAAAGTTCTGCAACTCGTCTTCCCCATATGTAAAAAAATATAGATAATGATCATGCCTATTTCACAGAATTGTTACAATAATTAGGCAAGTTAATATTTGTAAGGCTCTTAGAATAGTGCCTGACATATGGTAAGCACTCTATGTGTTTGCTTTAAAAAATACCCAAGGAAATGTAAAATTAAAAATTTAAATTGCAATCATAAGGATGTCATGCTATTTTGGTAGCTTCACAAGGAGGGAAAATAGGATGTTTCCATTACAGGGCATATGGGAATGTGACCAGCATTATCACCACTAGAGGGAACTATGCTAGTTCAGTCACTGAACAGAGGCTGTAGTGTGTTGTGTGCCAGCCCTACGTTGAAGGCTCTGAACATATCCTTCCTCTTACTCTCTTAGAAAATTATTTCTGGTCTTTCTACACCAACCCTATGTCCAATCCATTTAGCAACCAGAAACAGCTTCTGCGATTGAGAATTAAAGTTGCAAATACCTTTTTATCTGACCAGTACCTCTTATCATTCAGGACACTTAGTCTGAATATTTCTGCAATTTTGTTGGACCTATTGATGAATTTTCTCCTAAAGTGATGGCTATGTGATGGTGACACTATTATAAGCCACATTTCGTGACCAGTTATCCTGCCAGTTCTCTGGTCTTATATCATTCAAATCTGAAAGAATAAAAACAAGTGCTATCATTTAGACACTTGCCTCAATTAGACATTCAGTGTAATTGTGGATCCTACATATTTCGCATGCATCTGCATGACACCGGAAAAACTGAGAAGGACTAAAGCTGTGTCTGGAATTGCCGGTGCATTGTGTTAATGAACTGTGTTAACCACACCAAATCTTTTTATTTTCAAAATTTATAATACCTTGCATTATTCTAAAAATGGTTTGAGATATCTTAAAATTGCATAGTATCCAACAGAAGAAAATGAGTCACAAAATCATGGCAAAGGAAAAAAGAGGAGGGGGAAAATAAAATAAAGCCAAGAGGTAAATGTATGCCATGGTTTTTTTGTCACAGATTTGGCTTTAAGTGTCTAGCAGTTGACCACAGAGGGAAATCAGTTTTGAGTTCTACACTGTCTGTGTGATTTAAAAAAAATTGTTAAGGGAAATAAAGCATATCTATTTTTCATACTGAAATTTAAGAAAATTATACCCAATATTCCAATGTAGTTATATGCTATGTTTCAAAATATATATATATATATATATTGTCAAGGTACTATAGTATCTAAAGGTCCAGGTATACCAGTGTTTTATGTTTAGAGAAAGTATCTAGAAATATGTGTCCTTCAGGCCATGCTCCATAAGTTTTATTTCTTAGGTCAAGGATTTGGGTAAGAATTTGATGTCAGTGAGTACAAAATGGGTGTTATTCTCAACAAGTATTTGCAGTTCATGCAGCCAATGTTTCTGCTTATGAGCAGGACTACACACTGTGAGAACTGCATGAGCCAAGGGTGTGGTTGACAGCTGTGTAAAAATTAAGATTTGTGCCCTGGCTGGCATAGCTCAGTGGATTGAGCATGGGCTGGGAATCAAAGTGTCCCAGGTTCGATTCCCAGCCAGGGTACATTCCTGGGTTGCAGGCCAGAACCCCCAGCAACCGCACATGGATGTTTCTCTCTCTCTCTCTCTCTCCCCCTCCCTTCCTTCTCTAAAAATAAATAAATAAAATCTTTAAAAAAAATTAAGATTTGTTAACTAGAACGTGTCCTTAGGCTGAAGACTGCACCTGGCAAGGCATAGGGGTGCTATGCTAAGGCAGTACCCATGAATATTGTCAAGACATTTTCATTTTTTTCTCCCTCAGAAAACAGTTCTAGATCTATATTTCAACAAATGGGCAATCAAGACCACAGTTTTGCACCATAGGTTTTGACATTTATGGGTAGTATTTTTTCTACTTTTTTAAATCATTGTTCAAGTACAGTTTTCTCCCTTTTTCTCCCATTCTAGTGGTAGTATTTTCATTGTTCTCATTGCTAAATAGCTGAAATTTCCCACTTTGATTTCATTTTCAAGCTCAAGTTTCAGAAAGGTATTTAAATTTTTGAGAATTTAGAAAACGTCTAATTATACTTCCATTTGAATTTGGAGTTTATTTTACTCTGGTTAGTGAATGTAATTTTTATGATTATTTTTCTTGGCAATTAATTCACTGTTATTTTATGACACAACTAAAGGTCAATTTTTATGGATATCTGCACAGGACACTTTTCACATCTCTATTAGACTAAGTTGTTAAAAATATTAAGCAAGTCTATCATTTTCTCTATATCTCTCATATAATGAGACAAGAATCTTACATACCCTGCCCTTCTCATGTTATGGCCCCTTCACCAAGTCCTGTGATATATCTTCTGAGGTTTTAGTTTCAGTTTATTTATTAGGTATCATCTCCACTTAATTGAACATAAATAAGTTTTAATGCTTGAATTTAATATTTTAAAATTCATTTTATTTAATTCCAGTTTATTATTTTCAACACCTGTACTTACTTTAACAATGAGTTTTTACTTTTATAAATATATTTTATTGATTATGCTATTACAGTTGCCCTAACTTTTCCCCCTTTGTCCCCCGTCACCTGGTACCCCCATTCCCTCCAGGAACTCCTCCCAACTTGGTTCATGTCCATGGGTCGGGCATATAAGTTCTTTGGCTACTCCATTTCCTATACTATCCTCAACATCCCCCTGCCCATTCTGTAACTACCATTTGTACTTCGTATTCCCTGCACCTTTTCCCCCATTCCCTCCTTTCCCCTTCCCAACTGATAACCCCCTCCCAAATGATCTCCATATCTATGATTCTGTTTCTATTCTTTTTGTTGGCTTAGTTTGTTTTTTACATTTAATTGTTGACAGGTGTGAAATTATTGCTATTTTAATGTTCATAGTTTTGATCTTCTTTTTCTTAAATAAGTCCCTTTAATATTTCATGTAATAATGGCTTGGTGATGATGAACTCCTTTAGTTTTACCTTGTCTGGGAAGCACTTTATCTCCCCTTCAATTCTAAATGATAGCTGTGGTGGATAGAGTGCTCTAGGTTGTAGGTCCTTGCTTTTCATCACTTTGAATACTTCTTGCCAGTCTCTTCTAGACTGCAAAGTTTCTTTTGAGAAATCAACTGATAATCTTACAGGAACTCCTTTGTCTACTTTTCCTTGCTGCTTTTAAGATTCTCTCTTTGTCTTCAACATTTGGGATTTTAATTATGATGTGTCTTGGTGTGGTCTTCTTTGTGCCCATCTTGTTTGGGCCTCTCTGTGCTTCCTGGGCTTGTATGTCTATTTCCTTCCACAATTTAGGGAAGTTTTCCTTCATTATTTTTTCAAATAAATTTTCAATTTCTTGTTCTTTCTCTTCTCCTTCCAGCACCCCTGTGATTCAAATGTTGGTATGTTTGAAGTTGTCTCAGAGGCTCCTTAGCCTATCCTTGGTTTTTTTAATTCTTTTTTCTTCTTGCTGCTCTAATTGAATATTTTTTTTTTCCTTATGTTCCAAATAATTGATTTGATTTTCAGGTCCATTCACTCCACTGGTAGTTTCTTGTAAATTTTTCTTTAGTTCATTTATTGTAAACTTCATTTCTGCCTGGATCTTTTTTTATGTTGTTGAATACCCAATGAGTTCCTTGAGCATCCTGATAGTCAGTGTTTTGAATTCTGCATCTGATAGATTGTTTATCTCCTTATTGTTCAGTTCTTTTCCTGAGGTTTTATTCTATTCTTTCATTTGGGCCATATTTCTTTGTCTGCTCATTTCAGCAGCCTCCCTGTGTTTGTTTCTATGTATTAGGTACAGCTGCTTTGACTCCTTATCTTAGTAGCATGGCCTATTGTAGAAAAACATACCAGTAAGTTCAATGGGACAGAGCCTTAGGTAATTACCAGTGAGGGGCAGCCTGTACAAACCAGGTTGATGGAATGTCTGATATTGTGTCCCTACTCTGTGCTCTGTGTGTGGAGGAGTGCTCAGAAAGGGGACAATACCGCTGCCTGGCCTCTGGAGTTTTGTCTATGAAGAAGCTGTCCCCAGGTACTTTCCCTGATGCCAGATACTTCAGATTCTCCCTGTATACCACTGGTGTTCTTCCAGCTACTACCCTAGTGCTGGAGCCCAGGGCAAGTGAGTCTGTGTAAGTCCTAAGTTGTTGAAGGCTCTTTAAGAGGAGACTTTGGAGAATCCTGCAGTTTCTTCAGCTGCCCCAACCCCCATTGGTTTTTGCAGCCCAAAGTTATGGGGACTTATCTTCCTGGCACTGGAACCTGGGCTGGGTGGTCTGGTGTGGGACTGGGATCCCTTGCTTCTGAGGTATTCTTACAATTTTCACCCACCATTCGTGGGTGTGGGACTGCCTGATCTGCATCTCCACATCTCCATGTGTCTCTAAGCATCTTGGTGTCACCACCCCTCCTACCCATCTTGATGAATATGACTTCTTTAATTTCTTGGCTATCAGATTTCCATACTATTTAATTTTCTGACGATTCTGGGTGATAGTTGTTTTGTATTTTAGTTGTAACTTATGCTGTGGTTGAGTGAGGAGGTGAGCCGTGTTTACCTATGCATCCATCTTGACCAGATTCCCCTCCAAGTTTTACTTTTTCATTAGCTGTTTGGATCCCCTTTCTCATTTTTTCATTACCTATGCATCCATCTTGACCAGATTCCCCTCCAAGTTTTACTTTTTCATTAGCTGTTTGGATCCCCTTTCTCTTAGATTCATTCTTTATTTTCTTGGAATATAGCTCTGATAATTCTTTTTTCAGTAAAGTGGGTGATAAACCTTTCAAATCCTTGAATTATCAAAAATGGTTTCACTTTGTTCTGACTCTTAAATGGTGTGCTTTCATCATAGAGAAAATGGTATTTGGCATGATTTTCCCATCAGCATCCAATGTGCTGGGGTCAATCTGATTCTCATTCCATTCTGGCTAATTTGCTGGCCTTCAGGATATTCTAAAATTTCACTTATAGATTTTTTTGTTCATTATCTTTAATATGTAGTTCATTCAATATGATAACTCCTGTCTGTCTTTCAGTTAGGGAATTTTTCTTTCTCTCTGAATATATTCTTCCCTTCAGTCTTCTCTTTTTTTTTTTTGTAACTCCTATCAGAAAAATGTTGATACTTCTATATATACTTTTATATCTCATTATTTTTTCTTTTAAAAATAACTTCACTGAGATATAATTTACATATCACAAATTCACCAATTTTAAGGTTCAATGTGCCACCATCACCACAATCCAGTTTTAGAAGATTTTTATTAGTCCAAAAAAGTTTCTTTACACCTGTTGTATCACATTCTTCAAGAACACCATAGTCCAATGTTGCAAGTCATTGATTCACTCTGCTGTTATAATAGCCTGTCCTCTTTCAAGAACATCATGTCCTATTTATCTAAGAATACTAATTTTAGTTCATTTATGTCTCTTGTTGCTTAGTCATTCACCTTCCTCAGGTGTTCATTCAATAAATATTTACTGAGTACACAGGCTGCAGACACTTCAGGAGTTGCTGGAGATTGAATTTGATATCTGTGTCATGGTATCAGCTTTCCTCCTGGACTTGTGATTCTGACAGACAGCTCATCATTGTCTGTAGCTGACAGGTTCTAATTATCCTCTATTGGCAGTCAGATGCATTTTATTTCACGTGCAAAGTGTCTTAAAATTTGAAAAGATTAACATAAAATTTCAGCTTTTCAAATTCTCTTGTCCTTTGGGACTGACTGACGTCACTGGGCTCTCATTTGCTTTTTTTCACCAATTGGCTGCTGCAGAGTAGAGACTGCTGTCTGAGATATGGGCGTGCTCTTCCCTGTTGTTTAAGTTCAAAGTGTTTCTCCTCTCAGGGATTCTCTTTTAATTTATCCTACAACACTTTTATTGACTTCTAAATTTTACTTATCAAACTTTTACTTTTGTAGAACTCTTGTTCTTTGATTTTCATAGAATTCTGTTCTTATGGATGCGATATCTTCTTTAATTCTTTCAGAATGTTAATCATATTTTTTTTAATCTCACCTCTTGCTGATCCTGTTTCCTCCAATATTTTCCTTCTTCTCCTTTTCACAGCAGCTCTCCTTCAGTGTCTGTTGAAGCTTGAGCATATATTCATACTTAAGTTTGATGCCTTAAGGTATCAACTGGAAGATCTGGGTGGGGGTAGTTCTTGTTTACTAGTGAACTTCAGTGTAGGAGAAACAGTGGAGGTAGTGAACAGCCTTTTCAATTGTGGGCCCCACTTGTCATTGTGAGGATGTCTTTCTTGTAGAGTAACTCATCTTCTCCAGGTAAGAGTCCTTCAGTCTAGCCAGGAGTGGTGGGTGTAATACATGTGGCAATCTGGAAAAGCTGACTGAGGGACCCTGGAGATGAGCCAGATTTGCCCTTAAACCTCTTCTTTTCAGCCCGTGTCCCATCTTGTCCTTTGGGGCTTTTATCCTCTAAATACTACCCAAGTTCTACAAAGAGTACATCTCTCTTGCAAGGAACAGATTAGGCGTCTTGGAAGAGGGTCCTGCCAGGGCTTCATCATCTGTAGACAGACTTTGAGCCCATTCCCTGTTAACAACCACATGCTTCTCGCTCTTTCTCTTCCTAAATTGCACTTAGGTTCTCGTCTATATTCTTTGTCTTCCAAGGGGATGTTGAAATGTTTCTTCTGTTCATGTCTCTTCTTATGTTCTTCTTGTTGGGTAATAAATTTTGTACTTTTTTACTGTTATTTTAGTGGAAATTTGCTCAGGAAGAGACGTAGATATATGTGACCAATCTGCCAGGGTTGGTCTAGAAGTCTGAACTAGAAATCTGGCTGAATTCTTTTCTGCTGTAATAGACAGAAAAATCTCATTTATTCACTCCTATATGCAATAAATTTTACATATCCTTTCACAAACCTAAAAGATAAAGAATTAATTAGCATCACCTTTTATGAATTCTACAAAACAGAACTGTGTGAATCTAGGAAATCAAAAGTACCAACTTTTCCAGCTCACACTTTTGAAATGTCATTACTGCCACTTACCTTAACTGTATTTCATATTGAGATGACATACCTTTAAATAAAAACATTTTCAAATTAAAAACTAGAATTCTATTTTCATCTGTATACCCCATGTGACTTTCTTGGAACATGCAACTCATGGTTTTTGTGATTTATTTTTAGAGGAGAACGCTGAAGAATGGAACAACCACAGCTTGCTACTTTGCAACAATTTACACTGACTCATCTCTGCTCCTTGCGGAAATTACAGGTGAGGAGATGAAAGCATGATTTATGGGCACATCCAACAAAGTCAACCAGACCATCTCTGGCAGTGAGTTATTCTTGTGGGCAGACTTGGCTTTTAATTGCTGGAATTTGAGCATTGCATTTCCTGCAGGTAATTAGGTGTCTGTGTATTACTGTGGTCCCTGAATGTTTTTTATTATTTAAGAATTTGGTTATTTACTTATGCTTTTTGTTTCCAGAATTATGTGTATTAATTTAGGGCTTTTCAGGGTGGGTTTATTAATTCTGGTGATGGCAATAGTGTGTTATAATCAACAGACGTAAGATATGGCTATTGATTAGGTTCAGGGCACTGTGCAAATTTCTGGGAACAAGATGAAACAGAACATAATTTCTGCCCATGAGCTGACAGATAGGACTAATTGATTAATAACTGCACACATTGGTTAGTAACTTTAGGAACATCTGTAGTACTCTTACTAAGATGCCTGGCATCATGCAAAGCACTCTACGTGGATTATGTCAGCTAAGTTGCAAACAGCCTTCTGAGGTAGTTATTACATCCTCATGTTTCAAATTGATAAACTGATGCTCAGAGAGGTTACAAAACATACCCAAGTCACACAGCTAATTAGCACAGCTGGGACTTGAATTAGGTCGATGATTCTGAAACTTGTATACAAAGTGCCTAGCATATAGCAGCTTACTCAGTAATTTCTGTTGACTGATATGATCACACTACTGCTTGCTGACCAAGATCATTGATGCCAAAGGCCTGAAGCATGATGCTGAAAATAACTATTGCTGTTTTGGGAGGAGACAGAGAACTCAGAACTGGAACATCTAGGAAGACTTCCTGGAAGGGAAGAGATTTAAAAACTTGGCTTTGAAGGAAAGATAAAATGGAAAAAGAGAAAAATGTCCTCCAGACAGGGGAAATGGCATGTACAATGTCATGGAGGCAGGAATGTCTATAGTGGACACTGGAAGCAGGTAACAGAGTAGCTGAACCAGGGGGCGGGATTCATTGTGTGGAGGGTGCAGTGGGTGAGCAGGTTGGGTGGATGGAATGGTTCAGACTGTAGAGAGAATACGCATCAACATTCATGTTCTCATTTTTGAATATGCATCAAAAACTCAAAGAAGGTTTTGAGCTAGATAAAGTATGTGATGAAGGTGGTGTTTTAAGAAAGAGTAATCTAATAGCCAGTTATTAAAATGAATTACAGGGAAAGAGAGAGGCAGAAAGACTTCTGTAAGATTCTTATAACAGAAGTGGAGACACTGTAAAAAGAATTAACAATGCCCAAAGTACACTGAACTTCCTAACTGAAACAGAATTCCTCTAGAACCTCTAAAGAGGACTAGGTTCTTCAGTGCTAAGAGCTGCTTGTAGGACTAAATACAATTTTTGTTACAGGTAATAAAATTGGCATAGCTACAGTAAAGAATAGCACCAATATCTTCTCTAAGCATGTGCCAGATACTTTATATACACTACGGGGTGTGTTCCTTTTAACCCTGCACATAGCACAGGACACTGGACACATAGCTATTTAGACCTTAAACAAATAATATCCACTATCCTGGAAGTTAACAGAGGAAGGAGTCAAGTCCAACCAAGGCCATCAAACTCTGGTGCCCTTTTTCTTATCATTAGACCATGCCGCTTTTTCTGTAAAATGGGAGAAAAGTATAAAGAGGGACTCAATCCATGGGACAGTGGTATGGTAGGAAATGGGAGGGAAGTTGTGAGTCATAGACAAAAGAGAAGGAATAAAGAAGAAAAAGGTGTAGACATGTGGACATGTCTACCTTGACATGTTGAATAGTGTTTCACCAGGGCCTGAGGCTGTCCCCTCTCCATATGATAATATAGGAACAAGGATAGTTTTGACTTGAGTAAAAATATAGACAACCTGTGTAAGCAAAGGGAAAAGCTGAATAATAGGTGCAAAACACCCAATTATTGCCTGACCAGCCTGGAAGTGGGGGTGGGGGAGGCGGTGGTTGAAACAATGGATGGAAGACTATTTACTACTTACAGATCTTAGTGGGGTTTTGTTGTTATTCTTCTTAATGGATCATCTTTAACATTCTCATCTATGTTTTCATAATGATTTTAAGTTTTAAAAGTCTCAGAAGAGGTACTGTGTGGGAAAGACATGTGACTTTAGATTCTTTTTGTGTGCCTCAGATAAATTTGGGCAGCGGGCATTTGTGGGCAAAGTCAGCATGGATATGAATGACACTTTTCCAGAATATAAGGAAACCACTGAGGAATCAATTGAGGAAACAGAGAGGTACGTTTGTCTTGATTTGTCTGGAAGGCATCCCCTCGGCTGCATTGATGGGGCTGGAGACAGGGAGGGCTCTGCACCAGGCATCATGTGTGCAAATGTTGCAATGTGGGTTTGCCCACCTTTATGAAATTTGCCAGGTCCTTTAAAAAAGTTGTGTGCCAATACTATTTTTGCATAGCAAATTATAGTTTAAAGCTTCTGGGAACTTGTTATAGGAATTCTAGGGTAAGCCCCTACATAACCTGAGGGATTCTTTTTTGAAGTGAATGATTTACTCTCTCTATTATAGACCTGGTCTACTCCTGTGTATTGGACTTGCTTTAAGTGTGTACATGGCTTACTTATTAAATTACAGTTGACCCTTGAACAACATGGATTTTTATCTTATGTTGGGATATTCTACTGATCCTATTGGTACTTTTTCTACATTGCTTTTATGGCTTTTCCATAGTGCTTTAAGGATTTGACAAGGAGTTGTGTTATATGACACTCAGCACCCAAGAAATATACATACAAGAAATTTCTTTAGATTTAAATATTCTCCAAGTCCAAACATACCCCGATGCAAGTTTTAGAAGTCCTGCTTTTCTTTGTTCCCCAGGCTTCCTTCACCTTAGGGTGCCCTCTGAACGGGAGGCTGAGTGGCTGCCACCTGCTCCCAGGAATAAGGAAGCAATGCCTTCCCCTTACCATTGGTCATCAGCGCTACTTTTCCATGAATTTGTGTTTGTGGTCATAGTAAACTTTCATTCACATTTTATTCTGAAACAATACTGAAGGCAGGAAGCTCTGACTAGTAAACATTACCAGCCAGGGCAGAACTAGCAGTTTTGTAGGCCATGCAGATTCCACTGTCCCTGCAGCTATAATTGGTAAGATCTCCACACCCACCCTCATGTGTTTCGCACAACCAGCTCTGACTTTTTTCGTCTGCCTTACTCCAAATCCAGGTGGAGTAGGACACTGCCTTGGGAATAAAGGAGGATATTGTGTAAGCAAGTAGCTTCCACTTAAGGGAAATCAGGAGCAGAGAGCTCCATGGCTTCTAAATGCTTCCGAGTGCACATAACTCCAGGGCTTTAATATCCCTGTAGCATCACATATTGCGATGTTCCCCCGAACCGAGCTCAGGCTGGGAGAATGGCTTGAGTGCTGTGGGAACCCTTGTGAACAGCTCAGCCAATGTTATATGATATAATTGTGCTTCCCTGCAACTTTGCACTCCATCTCTGCAAATGAGAAAGCAGAGTAATTACTACTTGTTAATCACTAATTAGTGGTGAAACATGTGCAGTGTTGGAAATGTTTGCATGGGAAACAGGACATGGAAAGATTATGTTTCCATGCTTAAAAAATATTTTTTTGAAAATGCCTAAATTTTTAACTTCTTGTTTGTTGTGTTCTTTCAGATTTGTGTCAGAAATGCTCCAAAAGAATGTAAGTAAATTTGTTCGCAGTTTGTTTTTGGATTGCCTTTGTGTTAGCTATAGGATTTGTTATGAAGTTGCTTGGCAGAGAATAATCTGTGTGTGTTTGGCTTATCCCGTGCACACAGAAGTGTTTTCCTAGAACTCCGAATCATTTTCACAGTGGACCTGTCAACTCAGCTCAGTGAGTTCGGGGCACTTTTTGCTTTCTCGGTGGTTTTCTCTCCCTCTCCTCTGGGATCTTGTAATTTTGTAGGACTGGTCTCTGCAGAGGTAGGGGATGGCTGCATGGCTGTGGACAGATTGGGGGCACCTGGAAATTGAGACATGGTGTTTGTTGGCTATGTTAGTATTGGCTCTGGCCTGCTGTAGCCCCTGATGGGATCTGATGTACAGGTGGTGTCCAGTCCTGATGCCCCTGCCACAGGCTGCCTTGGTCCAGATACATATGTGTGGCATGTCACATGCCTGCAGGCCCTTAGCCAGGCATCCCCTTTGCAGGCCTTGTGGCTGTTGGGACTATGGAGGCAGAGCTGTTTCCTGCCCCATCCCCAGCAGGGTGGTTCATGGTTCCATAGTGCAGGTTCTTCAGTTGGCAAGATAGACCCTTCCCTTACCATTGTTTGAAGTCTGATTGGAAACCATAGGGAATCTGAAAATGTCTTTCAATCTAATCTTGGAGACTTAGGTGGAGCTTGGTGAATCCTTATTCTCACCATCCCTCTATGAGTGCTTCTTTCCTGCTCGGACCCTCACCTCAGGTGACATCAGGGACAGTTCTACAACTAAACAGCTTTCAGGGGTGTGCCATGGTCAGCACACCTCCCCAGGATGCAGAAAGGGGAATAGGCCACTGCCCTACCCCTAGTCTCCCCCGCCCTCTCCTTTAAAAGTTCTCCTTTTGCCTCTCTGTTCTCTTCCTAAAGGCCACCAAAATAGGTTTCAACTGAGCCTTCCTGTAGATGTGGAGCAGGGGGTAGCTATCATTTGGGACAAGATCTTCTTCCATTGGACTTGGTGCTACAGAATGTACTTTCCTGTGTCCTTAACCATGAGTTGTTTCCATGAAACCCAGCACTTCCACCCAGTCTTAGAAAGGAGGACTGTTCCCAAATATCAAGGCATAAAACCACCTTGTTGTATGATATGCTACATATTCATGATACCTAGTTTCCTTGTCAACTGTTGTTGATTATTTCCAGTATCCTAGAGTGAAGCCCATAGTGACACCACGTTTTGGCCTTTCCTGCTCTGAGAGGTTGATGAGTGAACTTGGAAAAATCGCAAAGACCCACGATTTGCACATTCAGGTGGGTATTTTTATCCAGTTCATGCCTCTTTCTAGACCTGGAAGACTTTTCAGCGTCTTTCATTCTGGCAGTAATCTCCAATTCTTCTACTGAGATCTCCTAGGGATACAGCATTATGGCCTTTACAGATGTCACCTAAGTCCACTTTAATTTTTCCATTAAGAAACACGAAGTTCCTTTTCCTCTCAGTGGTTTCTGATGAAGCATGCAGAGATGAGACCACCATAAGCAACCCGGAGAGCTCTATGACAAATGGTTTACCTGTTGTCCGTAGGATACGTTTAATGCATTGCTTGTCTACTTCTCTTTCATTTGATGTTTTCTCAGCATTCAAGTTGTTCATGTTTCAAGGAAACACCTATTACTTAAAAAGCAATAAGAACCTAATTTCCACCTTACAAAATGCATTTAAAAGGCCCTTTGTTCCAAGTTTCTTAATTTCAAATTAGGAACAAAAAAGTAGGTTTTACTTTGTCATTAAGCGGTTGCAATTCGGGAACAAAACACTTTTTAAAGCTTCCAGCTGGATTAAAATGGGAAGTTGGGAGCTCCCCTGCCCCACACTCTGCCCCACCCTCTGCCCAGTCCCAGCTTCATTACATACCTCACTAAAATTTCCTCTTGGAAGAATTGGCTATCTTATAACAAAGGACAGGACAGGGGAAAGGCAGCATGCTGATTCTTCATCATTTGTTGGGTGGAGGGTGCTTTCTTTCTTTTGAGATTTACCTTGATAGGGCTTATTAATGATTCTCATCTTTGCCCATTCTCTTTTTCTGTTTGTTTGTTTTTTGCAATCTGTGATACTTGAATGTTTGATTCAACCCCACACAGTTGTAGGGGAGAAAAAAGTTTTCCATAACATTCTTAGGGTATTTGTCTGGGTCTGAAAACTAAACTAACAAAGATAGATTAACAGAAGAAAAACATGCAAATATATTTAATGTAAGTTTTACATGATGGAGCCTTCACAGGAAATGAAAGCCCAGAGAAACAGTTAGACCTGAATAGTTTTTGCTAGGCTTTGATGAAGAGTGTGTGGTCAGGGAGGCATGCAATAGCTTAAGGGAGAGGAAGTAAGTGAAGGAAACTTAGCAAGGCCTGTTTGTTTGGATTCTTCATATCTCTCTTTGTCTTCAGAGATAAAGATGTTCCTGTCCTCTGGGTGTAAGATAGGCATCTGTCTCTTGTGGCTGTTATGACCTGTTCCAGGGAAGGAAGGGGTGGGGGCGGGGACCACCAGAGTAACCCTCCTGCTTCTTCCAGTCTCAAACTCCTTCAGCTTAATAAGGCATTTTTCAACTTGCTGAGATGCCATATTTGGGGGTAGTATGTCCTGAACCCCATCCACACACAACAAAAGCAAGTATATCCTTGCTGGGGAGTGTGTCTGTACAAATATATATGTGTATTTACTCAAATTTATCAAAATGACACAAATTGTCTGGTTGTCCTTTCTGCTCATCTGCTGCTCATGCATTTCTTCAGTGGTCTGGGCTTTCCTCAAGCTCATCCCATAGGGGGAACACTGTTTTTGGAACATTGCTGTTTTCCTTTTTATTTATTTGGCTATGCATACTCTACCTCATGGAGAGAGGGAAATGGCACTGCAATTCTTGGGAGTGGTAATGAGTTTTTCCCCATAATATCTATTCACCACCAGAGGGGTAGGTGTGTACACTTAAGTGTTGTGACTCAAAAACACATAATGTGCTCTCAGGTTTTGCAGTGCCCAGAGAAAAATCGGTGTGGGAGCTGGGACTTGCTCACTCTGCTTGCATGTGGATTTTTATGGGCTCTTTCTGGATGACTGCAGGATTGTCTAGCTTAGTTATTTTTGAATTATTTTCTCCAGAAGAACTCATTCTGGATACAAAAACATGGGACAGAATAGAGACAGGGTTCCAGAGTCCCAACCCTGCTTCATCCTGAGAGGCAACTTGTTTATGCCTTTTACATAGTAGATCTCTATGAATTTTTAGCAGAATAACATCCAAAGCTAAAAGAATTTGGAAAATTACTTATCTACCCCAACTCTTTTATTTGAGAGATGAGGAAATAGAGACCCAAAGAAAAGAAATGACTCACCCCAAGACACATAACTAGGGTCAGAACTTCGGCTAAAATTCAGCTCTCTTTATTCAAATTCCACTGAACTCTTCTTAAATGGCCAACACCAGAAGAGATAGGTGGGCAAAAAGCTAGGGTCTTAGTTCTCTTGAAGGAATACTTTTTATTTTTGCGTGTTCTTGCTATAGTTCGGAATTTGAAAACACTTTGTTGGAAGAATATTACATGTGTTAGAACATTACATGTTTGTATAATTACATATTCATAGTTTCTTCATCATATGATTATTTTAAATAAAACACATGTATAATCTTCCTTGTCTGTCTATGCAGTGCCTCACATAGGCAAGTAGAAACCACCCACACTATTTTGGGGTAGGAAGTATAATTTCTAATGGCATTTTATATTAGAAAATTGAAAATATTATTTCTTCTCTTACAGAGCCATATAAGTGAAAGTCTTGATGAAGTCAAAGCTGTGGAAAACTTATACCCCAGTTATAAAAACTATCCAGATTTGTATGATAAAAACGGTCTCCTGACAAATAAGGTAAATCGCATGTCATGGCATAAGCTGTGTGAGATCAGGCACACGTACCTAAATGTTAAATCCCAGCAGTGCTCTTCACTTCTATGACACACGTGCACTTCCCAGGCTAGAGTGAAGCTCAGAGTCTGCGTACGTGTGTGTGCATAGTTTAAAACGGGCCTGACCTTTCATCTCACTAAATAAATGTAAAGGCTTCACTAAGGGTGGGAATGTCATTCCCTCAGTGGGAATGTCAAACGTCCTTTGGTCCAAGGACATTTTGCTGGTATTTATTAAAATGTAAATGTGTGTTCCCTTGAGTTAATAAATCATTTCTAAGGATCCATTCTGTAAGGACTATGAATAGAGATGTTTATTACATATGAAAGTTAAAAAATGGCTCTCATTGGGATTGTTTAGATTATAGAACATACATGATTAGGATTTTATCCAACATTCACAAAGCATGAGGCATGCAGGCTTACCACATTATTCGAGGTGTGCATACACAGGAGTGGGCACAAGTTTACTCAGAAAAATGTGTCTGATAGACACACATTAGACGTTCACAGTGATTCTTCCTGAGGAAGAAAGCAGAAGGACCTTTCCCTTTTTATTTTTAAACACTCTGAGATTGCTTGTATGAGCATGTATTTTTTCTATAATCAAGCATTTTAAAGTAATTAAAATTAATATGAGTGAAGAGAGACCTCATTAGAATGATCTGCCCCTTGGCCTTGGCCTTCAAGGCAATGTACAAATTGCAGGAAGAATTTAATTACGGCAGCCGATAAATTCGTAGGACCTTTGTGAGTGGAGATGTGAATATGACTAATTTGAAAGGTTAATAATCAGCATAAATCTTATAAATGCTACACCTTAATCTGCATTCTCCATTACATATATTTGCATACAATTAATAAATCATTACCTTCTATTTGCATATTAATTTGATTTGCACAGAGGTTAGGAAAATTGTATTTTAATAATGATTCTGTGGCCACCGAGCCATGCCTCCCAAAGGAGAAAGCTATTCAGATTCAAGTTCTGTATTGAGGGAAAAAGAATTCTGAAAGAGTGAAGTCTTATTCAGGAAAACCCACACACATTACCAAGACTAAAAACTAAGAGAAGTCTCCTGTGTGTGTAGTGCCTGCCTTCTGGTATCAATTTTGATTTCTGAATTTATGCTTGTAGGGTAGTACATTTCCTAATTTTTATTAAAATGTAAATATAGGTGATGAAATAATTAAAGTGTGTTTGGTTATGTGTCATGACCTTGGGCGCCTCTATCTAACTAGGGCAGAAATAAAGAACTCTTCCCAGGATCACTCCTGTAGCTTCCGTGTACTGAGAAAGGAAAGCTTACTTCTAGAAAGTCTGATTAAAATTGGAATACGCACAGTCCCACCAGATGCCCACTAGATTTACAAAAGAAAGCAACTTGGTTATTTTCTAAAGTAGAGATGAAGGAGTCATAATATCTTCAAACTGGAGGGATGTCCTATGCTGTAGATGACCTGGATCAACCCTCCTTATTTTATAGATTTAAAAAGTAAAAAAGATAAGCTCTATAAATTGGTGGACACTTTTTGTAATCCAATGTTTTTACAGGCTTTTTCTGAGATGTGACTTGTGCCGAGTGATTTTATACAGACAGGTAATCATGTTCTCGTGACCGTGCTAACAGACGTGTCCGTGTATGTACTGACAGAAACAGACGTCACAGCTTCTATCTGTACCTATAATGTGCTGTTGTGAGTGAGGACTAACTTAAGCATTTTTAAGTGGTAAACTCCACATAGGACACTCTTCTCTCCAGACAGTGATGGCACATGGCTGCTACCTTTCCGCAGAAGAACTGGATCTATTCAAAAAAAGAGGAGCATCGATCGCATGTTGTCCCAATTCTAACATATCGTAAGTAGGCAATTATTGATTGATAGATTATGAATGTTGGGGTTGCAAAATAGCAGCCTTTGTTTTCTCTGTCATTTCTTTAGTATCTCTCTTCTATAGTTATGTTTGATTGGGACAGGGACTGGATAGAAACCTACCTTTGCTGTAGTGGGGAGCAAGAGTACATAACAGGACATTTTTTTTTTTTTGCAGAGTATGCATTTGAAAAGCACCACATCTCTTAAAATTTCTGAGTTTACACAAAACAGAAACTTTGAATAACACCAGAAAGAGTTCAAAACCAGTAACATTCAGAACTTACAGCTTAAGACTGAAAGGGCACATATGCCAGCCAGCTGTTCAGGGAGAGGGTGCTGACTTCCCATTACTTTGTGCTGTGTAAGCTACTAGAAACAGACTAGTGGAAATGATGCAGTGCTACTGGGAGCCAACGTGCTACATACATTATATGCACCTGCTGGATCTGGCTGCATGCCAGTTCAGATAAAAGGGACCTTGCCCTATTATAGTTCACCAGAATGCAAAAGCTTTATTTATAAGTTTACATTTTGAAAGGTTATATATCTACAAGTGAATCTGATGAAAGTTATGGCCTATATCTTCAGAAAAAAGCCCAGAGATAAAAATATGCTGGAGCTAGTTTCTCGGAATTCATAGACCCCGTGATGCTGTTCCATGGGTGCTAGGTCAAGAGTTCATGCTCCAGAGGTAGAGACAGAGAGGAGCCTCATTTCTGGTGTTAGTCATCCCAGAACAGAGCTGCTTCCTCTTAGAGGCAGGGTAGGGTGGATCGTTCATATATGCATTCAATACATTGATTTAGCTTCTGCTAGGTTTTAGTTTTTGAAGGATTACTTTGTGTTTTCCTTTTTTTCACCTTTTTTTTTTTTTAAATTTTGAGTTCTTATAGAAGCAGACCACAAGACAAGGGTTCACACACAAGTAGTTTATTGGGGAGGTGAGCCCAGGAAGCACCTTTAGTGGGGTAAGACAGAGAAGGATAGGAAGTCAGTAAAGAGTGCATCATTAACCAAGTTACCAAGATGGGCTCCTGGAGTTTAGTCCTGGAAAACTCAGGGAGCCAGTGTACAAAGCAGACCTCCAAGTCATTGTGCTCAAGGGGTGTGGGAGCTGGGATAGTTATGCCCACATATTCATCAGTTATTGTTGGACAACTGCTGGGTGGGGCAAAGAGGCATTGATTCGTTGGGGCTTCTGACCCTCCCCAGACCAGGGAAGAGCAGGTTCTAGCAGCAGAAGTGGGCCCTTGGCAAAGAGGTGGAGATGCTGGCAGTTAGAAGTCCAGTGACTTTGTAAATGAAAAAGTTATATATCAGTGGCAGTATGGCAAGGGCACAAGAGGCACAGTGATCTATTTCTGTAGTGTTTCCAGAGGCTTCCAGTTTTCTGACAGATAGTGGTAACACATTACAGGAACCCTGCCTCTCTTCAGCTTAGTGACCATAATTATGGTCTGGTGGCCAGGTAGGGGGAGGGTTTAACATCCCTTATGTTAGTTACACAACATCTAAATTAAAACAAGATCCAAATAAAAGTTTGAAGTTAAATTTCTTTATAGATACATTTCTGTTTAAATGGTCACTGCTATTCTTTCTTCGACAACTTGGAGAGATTTACTGCATGTATATCGGGGCTTTGAAAATTATGGTTATGTGCATATTTGAGCAGACCACTTTGACCTTTGCATCTTTTCAAACTTCTAAGAGTCACTTTACTTTTCCTTTGTTTCCTTAGAAAGGCAGCATATCTATTAAGCTCAGGGTCACAAGATCTAGAATTTAATTCAGGAACCATCTGTCCTAGTTGTTGCTGTCCTCAGCAGCCACATTTGAACTGTCAGGCCCAGAATCACCAGCCTGCATCCCATTCCCCAGTTATACCCCTCCTTATTTTATCTTGAAAGTTGCTACTCACTCAGGGTGACAAATTATTCCAGATGGACAGGAAAGGCTATGCTTCATAATTTTTACTTCCTAACATAAGAGGATGGGTTGGCTAAGAACATAATAAAGATGGGTAAGACTTTTAGGCTAATTGTAAGATTTAATTTCTTCATTTATCTTTCTTCACAAATGATCCCCTGCTTTCTGTTTTTGCTCTTGCTTCTTTGTACCATCCTAAGATTAAACTCAGTGCAAGGGTTTGAACTCCTTTATGATCTGTTTTCACTGCAGAACTCAGATGGTCTGATTTGATGAATATGTGTGGGTGTGTCCACATTAGAGCTGATGTGATGGAGAACACTGTTTTCCGTGACTTCACCATCACTGTTGTTAGTGTCCTTCTGTTGGACCCACATAGGTCTCCTTATTCTAACAGTCTCTTCTCTCTACAGCCTCTGCAGCGGCTTTCTCAATGTAGTGGAAGTGCTGGACCATGAAGTGAAATTAGGGCTGGGTACAGGTTAGTAGTCCGCCATTTGGAGTTATGGCAAAGTAGTTGATGAAGTGCGCAACTTCCTAATGTGACTAGTTTTCACATTACAGTTCCATGCTTAAAAATTAGTTTTATTTTCTGATATTAATATCCTGAGCTAAAAAAATAGCGAGGTTGGAAACAAGGGTAGACACTTTGATGTCACTAACCTTCCGAAAGCTATTATTTGTATTTACTATAAAGGGTATGTTCTTCTCAGGTGTTTCAGAGATTCTTTATAAAGAGTCCTTGATTTTTTTTCTCTTTCATTTTGGTCTTCTGGCTAAGCTTTAATAGTGTGGATTTGTATGATTTTAGTTTTCGATAAGTGTGCCACTCCACATGCTGTCTCAGAAGAAAATGGTTTGACCTTGCCGTACATGGCAGGCACAAATTCAATCCATGCCAGCATGGAGAACTCTGAGTCATGTTAAGTACTTGCTTTATGTTTAAGTGGTGTTTAATAAAATGAGATTCCTTTCCCATGGGCCATCTGATGTTTGCTAGGCTGAAGGACATTCTCAGTGGCTAATAAAGTAATGATGTCTCTTTTTTTCATAGTACATTTTAATGATTTTTCCTGAGTGTGTGCAGTACTACTCACTTTGAAAATGTATGTTAGACCCAAATGTCTAGGCATATCCACTGTGAACCTGTGTTTATTAATGTGTATGAAGGAACTAAATGTTTTAAAAAATGGGTGTGGATGCAAGGACTCATTTTCCATTCCTCATGCATTTGTCCCCCTGATGTTTCAGAGCATCAGGATACTTGCATGTTGACAAAGATGGTTGTCATCATTATCTGCAATAACTCAAGTCTCAGTTAACTTTATACTAAGCAATTCCTTGGTAAGACACACAATAATTCAAAAAGGTTTATTAATATTTTAAAATAGGTATGCTAATTTAGAAGTTCCCCCAATTTTACATGAATCAAAGAAATCGAGATTTTTAAAAAATTCTAATTTAATATTTGAATCATTGTGATTGTGTAATACCTGGATATAGTCACAGGTGCTAAGGCAGGAAACCAACTGTTTTGCTTTAACAGAAAAGCTTTAATGAATAACAAAAGAATGGCCAAGGGTTTTTGTCACATAGTCTATTAATGAAAAATTTAGCAGACACGCAAAATAAGGTAGGTATTGCTTTCAAACTTGCTGGGAGTTTTGTCTCTGTAATTTAAATTCATCACATGACTTCTAGTTCTTGATTTTGGGTTGTATAGCAAGGGCCTTAAACATTTAGGTAAAGCTTTAATTGTCATTTATTAGCGGCAAGATATTGAACAAATTAATTTTCTAAGACTTCATTTTCTAATTTCTATAACAATGACAACAATTGTAACCATATCTACCTTACAAGCTTGTTTTAAGGCCTAAATGAAAAAAGTTCTTGAGAGGTGGTTAGCACATATCTGACACATTGTACTGGTCAACAAAGATTGGCTTAAAAGGTAAAGGGCAATGTTGGTGTATTGACCAAATGTTTTATTAAATATGATGCATTTGCTAATTAAGTTGGAGAATGCATTTTATATACTCTCTGCTTTGGTAGCCACTCTGTGCTCCACTATTTCCTAAAGAGGACCTTTGTGTATGAACTTACCCTTCACTTGTAGACTATAGAAGATTGTTTAACCTGATATAATGGACAGAAAACAGTTTCAAGAGCAGTTCATTCATCATATCTATAACGAGGGCAGGCATATCTGGACTTGCTCGAGTATTAGAGGAAACCCACATGAAGCTTACAACCCACACTGCAAAACAAGAGAAAACAATATCAAGAAGAATAAAAGGGTGACCACATTTCTGAAAACAATTTACTTCAGGATCCAGAAGAAAATTTCAGAAAACTACTATCATCCTTAGAGTACAAGAAGACATGGCACTGTAAAAAACCCACAAGTTGTGATGGAAAAGAAAAATTTTTTAATGAAAGAAGAAAAAGCAAAAGAATAAGAAGCATGTAGACTCTCATACACAACTGGAGGGGGAGGCGTAAATGTTCAACCTCTTTAGAGAACTCTTTGGCAATTTCTTATAAACTTAAATATTAATCTACATGTGACCCAGTAATTCCATTTTGGGATTTACCCTAGAGACATGAACACATATGTTGGCAAAAAAGAATTGTATAAGAATGTTTATACCAGCTGTATTCATGACAGCCCCTCCTCCCTACCTCTCTAGTCCTCATCAAAGCAAAACTTCTTCAAAGAGTGCAGCCCCACATTGCTGCCACTTTCTAGGCACTCTTCCATTCCTCCATGCACTTCAGGCTGGCTTCTTGCCCCGGCCTCCATGGGAATGATCCTTGTCCTTTCTCCCTCGCAGTATTACCCCTGTGATCTCTTGCTGTCAGCTCCAAAAGACATCATTCTATATTTATTATACTGGACTTCTGAGCCATGGTTGACTACTCTCTCCTTTGTTCAAACAGCCTTATACTGGATTCAGTGAAACCACACTGTTCTCATTTCCCTTCTTCCTCTCTCTCCAGCCCTTCCTTATTTTCTTTGAAGGTCCTTTCTTCTCTCACTGGCCACTCAAGGCTCAGTCCTAGGCTCTCTCCTCTTTTGACTTTATGCTTTCCTGTTAAGAGACTTCATTCACAAACATGGCTTTACATGATTACATGTATGCAGATGACTCTGATTTTTATATGTAGATCAGATTTCTCTTTGAATTCCAAACTTGTATTTTCAGTTTCTTAGTTTCTCCTTTCTCTTTGACCCCTCCTCATAGATCTTTCACAGCTTATTATGTCCCAAAACACATTTAAGCCTTTAAGCCTGGTTCTTTTAAATGGCTTTCCTTTTCAGAGAAATCAGTTTCTCAAAATGGAAACTTAGGCCTTGTGTTTGAGACCTTTTTCCCTCTCACCTCTCTCCCATGTCTAAGCCAGTGCAATGTCCAGCCTCATGACTCCTTTATAGCTCCTGAATCTATACTCTTTTTCCATATCAGCCACCGCTCGCTAAAGCAAGCTGCCATTGTTTCTGGCCCAAACTCTTGCACTAGCTTCCTAGTCCATCTCACATTCATCTTGGGCCCTTCTAATCCAGTCTTCTCTTTTGAAAAGAATCACAGTGGAAATCTGACCATTGCACCCCCTCCTGCTTACCACCCTTGAGTGGAATTTTGAATAGGCAAACCTTATTACAGGGCAACAAAGCTCTGCATGGTCTGACATCCATCTACCTCTCAGCCTCATACCCTACCACTCTCACCTCCTTACCCGGGCTATCTTTAAATTCCCTCCATGAATCACACCCCCTTCCAGCAAAATGCTTTGGTGCATTTTGTTCCTGTGCCTGTAATGCCCTTTATACCTCTCTTTACATGACTGAGTTCTTCTCATTTCTGTCTTAATTTAAATGTCATTGCCTTGAAGAGGTCTTCTCTGACCATCCTGCCTAAATGGGCTTTTCACCTTCTCTAACACTAACAGAACAAAATGTCTAGTTAACATTTGTTTGTTTATATGTCTCCTTTCTTTCTCCTCTACTAGCTGGTTAGCTCATAGGGAGCCCATAAGGTCTTTTTATGAATGCTTAAATAAATCAAGAACATAGAAGGTGCTCAGTAAATGACTGTCGATGAATGAATGCATACAAAGTGAACACATACATGTAAAATCATTTTCTTCTATGTTTTCATTGCCCTCTGGCTCAAATTTCTACTCTTGTATGGTTTGCTGAGAGTCCTCTTGTAAATAGTGCATCCTTATGCTGACTCTGGTAAACAAATCATAGTGCCACTCTTTATCATGATGCTAGAAGACATGGGTTTGAGGATAGATTTTTCTGAGAAAATGCATCCATTTTCTCCACCATTTCTCCATGCAGTTTTTACATTTTAGTCCTCATTCCCTTCTCCAGCATTTATGTTACTTAACTGGATTTTTCAGCAACTGTTAAAATAGGTGATGTTACTTCTATTTGCTGAGAAAATTGAGATTCACAGGTAGTAAGTAATTGACCAAAGGTCAACAAAGCAAAAAAGTTCCAGATCTACAGTCTAAAACCAGATCCATAAAATGTGGTGTTCATTATCTCTCTTTTCAGCCCCTCACACTGCCTCTTGTTAGATGATAAAGTAGGAATTCTGCCTTCACTGATGTGTTGCAGAGGGAGGAGAAACCACCAAACTCACCATGCAGGGCACCGATCAGAAAGTTACTGTCACAGTGGAAATCCCTGGAAGAAAAACTTGACTACATGCCATGGTTTATATAGTCCAGGGTTTATTCTTTGATCTGCACGGTGTTGTTTCTTGTTAACATAATGACCAGAAGAAGATAGGACGATTAAATCATCCTATAAGGCAGCAACATAATAAGACAGCTGTGAAAATTTTCTCAATAAATTGCATAGCATTGTTTTTTCATCTATCCTTATTTTTTCTAGATTGATAGTTTGCTGAGATATAGAGGAAAATATGACTTTCCATACATTTTATATAACATGTTTTTATAACTGCAAGTATTTAAATCTTCCATGTTCATACAATCCTAATGACCTTGCTTTTGTTTTTCTGTTTCCTCTCAGTCTTTAGCTATATATTTTAAAATATATGTTCAGTCTTTATATGTTTCCATACCATACAGTGATAGCATTTTCATTTAACTTTTTTGTTCTAGAAATAAAGAAAAAACAGTAGACAAAGTTTTCCAAAGCTTAATGTGCATTATTCCCAAATCTCATTTGTTTTCTTAGTTTGATGCTATGGTAAAATGAAAGTTTAATAGATGGTTACTAAAATGGACTAATAACTTAAGTAGATGTAATGAAGCTTGTCAAGAAAGTGGATGATCCTCAGGCAGTACTGTTCTAGTTAAAGAAAAAATTATAAAGATTTATCTAAGGACATGGAAGACAGTGAACATAAAATTGAACATAAATCTAGGATTGTTACTTACTAAGCTATTAATTTTGTAATATATATAGGTGCTATGAATTATATATATATATATTTATATATATAAAATACTTTGAAATGACAGAAAGGACCCTTGAAAGAGAAAGTATATTTTTTACCTATATTTTTCTCCTAGTAAAACATGCTAACTTACTTGGCTTATTTACACAAACCCATATAATAACTCCTACATTTGTTCTTGTTCTTCTAGATTTGTCAAAGGTAGTATTTCAATTTAAATATGAGGGACTTTATTTTTTAAATTATGAAAAATCTCATTCCTCCTCTAATGATGCCAACAAACATATAAAGCTGTCTACATTAGCATTGCTCACTTATATACAAATTTCCCAGAATATGTCAATTCATTCTGAAAGCTCTGCCTCTAAAATTATCATAAAGAAGTGCTTTCTTAATTTCCAAAGCTCTCATCTGAATTAGAATAAAGGTAGGACAAGTTATTAGAACATAGAATTGTGAGCTTATTTTAACTAGGCAGGCATATTTGACCAGCTTCTGTGAGAATTTAGGGGATATTCAGATAAGAACGTTTAAATAAGAACGTTTTCTCTTAACTTCATTAACCATTGGTCTTTGCACTGGACTGAATTGTACACTCCCCACCCCTCAAAAAAACTCTCTGCCTTCTTAGAACATGTAAAAATGACCTTGTTTGGAATAAAGGTCTTTGCAGATGTAATAAAGGTGATGAAATCATTCTGAATTAATGTGATCCCTAAATCCAATGATGAATGTCTTATAAGAGACAGAAAAGGACAGTCACATAAAGACATGGAGGAGAAGGCCATTTGAAGATGGAGGCAGGAACTGGAGATACACTGCCACAAGCCAAGGAATCCCAGGAGCCACCAATAACTGGAAGAAGTGAGGAATGGTTCTTCCCTAGAGTCTTTACAGGGATCATGGACCTGTGAATACTTTGATTTAAGACTTCTGTCCTCTCCAGCTGTGACTGAATAAATTTCTACTCCTTTATGACACAAAATTTGTGGTAATTTGTTTCAGCAGTCCTAGGAAACTAATACAGGTGCACATTTGATACTAATTGCATGTTTTGAATTCTTTTACATGTTAGTCTGTGTCTATTCCATATTCACCGATAAGATCTTTTATTTGAAGTATATTAAAGACTGAATATCTGTCACTAAAAACAAATAAAAACTCAACCTATTAAGAGATACAAACTGGTAGCTACAAAATCATCATCAGGATGTAAAGTACAGCATAGGGAATATAGTCAGTAATATTACTATTGTAATAATTATGCATGGTGCCAGGTGGCTACATGAAATGTTGGAGGGATCACTTTGGAAGGTATATGATTGTCTAACCACTCTGCTATACACCTGAAATAATGCAAAATAACATTGAATGTAAGCTGTAATTGAAAAAATTTTTTTAAAAGTCTATGCTTAATATTCCATTTGTCTTACAAGATTACTGTTTTGGCTTTATTTTGCTTACCATAGATGTTGCTGGTGGTTATTCATCTTCCATGCTCAATGCAATCAGAACAGAAATGATGACTTCTAATGTCCTTTTAATTAATGAGGTAAATGAAAAGGGCCTCACCTTTGAAGAAGTGTTCAGACTAGCTACTCTTGGAGGCAGCCAAGGTAATGACTATTTTTTCTCTAACAATAGACAACCATGCTTATCTGTGTCCTTGGATGCACTGTGAGGAACCTGATAATGGTATCAGCAGGAATCCAATACTCATGACTGTTGCACCTCACATAGCATACCCCAAACTTAGCAAGTCAAGTACATGTTCAAGCATGTAGTGGAGGAATAATTCTTATAGCAAGCTTTCTGTCTTTGGAAGAAGAGATGTTTAATACACAGTTGCCATATTAATAATTTTAATGGATATTTGCATTGGTCACATGCATACAAGTTTTTAAAAATAATCAGTATTTCCATTGAGTCAGGAACACTTTCTATTGGTCTCAGTGAAGATAATGATAATAATACTAATGTAAAAATAATAGTGAATAGCCCTACTGGTGTGGTTCAGTGGATTGAGCACTGGCCTGTGAACTGTAAAGTCTCTGGTTCGATTCCCTGATAGGGCACATGCTTGGGTTGTGGGCCAGGTTCCCAGTTGGGGGTGAGCAAGAGGTAATCAATGTTTCTCTCTCTTTCTTTCTCCTTCCCTCCTCCTCTCTCTGAAAATAAATAAGTAAATAAAATCTTTAAAAAAAATAGCCAATAGTTCTTACCCTATGATAGGTACTATGCAACATTCTTTATACATATTGTTACTTACCTCACAGCCACTGTTATTAATTCCATTTCATCAACAAGGCACCTGATGGAAGTGCACACAACTGTCAAGCCATAGAGTGCCATGATCTGAACCCGAATCTGATGCCAGTGAAAGTTTTTACCTTTCCACTGCGATATCTTCATGTATAAATTTTAGCTTGGAGTATGCACTGTGTTTATATAATTAAGCACACTAATTACCTAAGTTTTTTTAAGTCAAAAGATGTCAAAATATAGTTGTTTCACATGCAAATATTGTTCATCAGCTTTTCCCAATTTTCACATGTAACTGTATTTTCATGGAAAAAGAAATCAGTTATCGTATTCCTTTCAGTCACGTTAGTATTGCGGTGCAATCTAGGTAGATAATAGTGAACATAGCATGAAATCTTACATGGCTAGTGAGAAATAAAATCATATATATAGAGACAGATGTACATATATATGTAGATTTATGATAAATCTAAATTTATGATACCCTGGATCTTGAAAAATGGAGAATGACGGAGACCAATATCCTTGGAAAAGAAACTTCCTGGCTCTTCTTTGAAGGTTCTGTGCTATGATGGATGCCATAAAGAAGCTTTCCTTTTTTTTTAATTTTACAGAGAGAGAGGAACGGGGGAGAGACAGACAGATAGACATGGATTTATTGTTCCACTTATTTATGCATTCATTAGTTGCTTCTTGTATGTGCCTTGACTGGAGATCAAACTCACAACCTTGGCATACTGGGGTGATGCTCTAACCAACTGAGCTACCCACTCAGGGCATAAAGAACCTTTCAAGAAAAACAAGTAGAGGTCATGTTGTTTGCATTTCCAAGACATAGGATTCCAATTCATAGGATATGTGAAGTTCCATGTTTTACATCACCATTTTTTTTAACAAGTGTGGTGCTCCCCAACCTCACCACCACTGTGTTTGTGCATCTGAGTTCAAGCAGCTGGCCAACCATCTTATTTTCATGGTGCAAAAGAGTTGTATTTAAATAGTGCTGCTTGAAAAAAATTTCTAAGCTCTCTGTGACTTACTTCATGAGGATTCTGTGTCTGATCAAGACGGCAGTATGGGGGACTTACCAAATCATTTCTATGTTGTATCACTTTCAAATCTATTTTCTGGGCTGCTTGGCTTACTGTTAGTGGGATTTCTTCTCCTTAACTCATGTCTCTACAAGAGTCTGAGTGAAATGAGATGAATGGATCCCTATTTTAAGTGTGACCTCTGCCTAGCTTGCCATGACCTATATATATTCAAGATGTGCATAAATGACCTTCACAGAGCCAACATTTGCCCCCAAAGCAGCAAAGTGGTATTTTCTGAAATGCAGTGACTTGCTTACCAGCTCAGCTAGGCCTTACTGCAATAATTTGAATTTAAATCAATTTATAATTTCACCAAAAGCAATTGTGTCTCTTTTGGTTAGTGCATGCCTGTACTCTCCAGGTTCTAACAAATAGCTCAGTTAGTTTATATATGATCACACTCTGGCAAATGAACCTGGTTATCTGGACTATTAAGTATACAACAATTTTATACTGAATATAGTCATTAAAAGCTTGTACTTGTCATGTGCCTTTGTCAAGTGCCAGTAGTGGAAGAGGGCATTTCCAATGATTTTCTATTACATTCAGTCCTTCACCACACAATTAGTAGAAGTCACCTAACAGCTTTTAACATTTCTAATTATTTTTGAATCCCTGTCTTCCTATAAGAATTCTTTAGCTAAAAATATTTTCCTTTCTGAGAATAAAAGAGTTGCCTTTTAAATAACCTTTTAAGAATAAGTAGGATTTCTAAGTCAGTGATAAAAGCATTGCCAAGAGACTTCTGCATATCCATACATAGACATATAATGTACGAGATATTGTCTATCAGGAATATGCCATCCAGTATTTTCACATCGGACCACACCCTGACAGTGATAGAATACAACAAACACATGTAGAAATTCAAATAAATAATGCTGCACTCTAGTGGGCCCCCCTTTATGCATTCTTCCATTTGGTACATCACTGTATACCTTACTCAAATTACAGGCTTTACTGAGCTCAAGATGCAATAACTTTATTGACCAGGAAAGCCAACTACACCCATCTTTTGAAACTAAATCATATTAATGAAAGAAATGTTCTTCTTTGGCTTGTAATACTTGTGGAACATAAATTTTAGCTATGAGATGGATCAAATCAATAGATATTATTGACCTATGTTCTATTGTAGAAAACCATCCTTCTCTGGCAACCAGAAAAACATCTTTGAGGTTGCAAAGAAGTTGGTCTGCTTTTGAAAGGATAGGGACTCCTAAGTTATGAGCATCCATTTACTTTCAGAAGCGAATTTTTTCTATTCCAAAGATTTAAACTAAAGAACTTATGATGGATATGCCTGTGTTGACAAATGTGCAAAAAGATAATTATTTTTTATTTATTTGAGGTTCATTTCATGGCCATGAAAATAGATGTTCTCAGCTATTTCATAGAACAAGAAGGACAAGGAAAGGAGTCATAGTGTTGGTGGGGGGACTAGGAGGGAAAAAAGCAGAAGGTATTTTATCATTTGTATTTTTTGGAGGGATGAATGAAAGTCATAGACCAGTTGGATTGTGTATTGCACTGAACTGAAAAACAGAGATACCATCAGAATTATGGTCATGGTGATGAAGGGAGCTGTTTTTATTCTCAGATTTTGCTTTCCCTTTGCTTACTCTGCTTTCTGTAAGGCGAAGTCTTGTGACCTATCAGAATAGAATACTTCACTATTAAGATACTAATGTTTTTCTAGTGACAGAAAAACATTAGTTTTTCTTGGCAGACTCTGTCCTTGCAAACTGGGACATTGGCATTGGCATGACTCAAAATACTGACTGTTTATTAATTTATTCTACCCTATAGCCCTGGGGCTGGATAAAGACATTGGAAACTTTGAAGTGGGCAAGGAATTTGATGCCCTCTTGATCAACCCCAAAGCATCTGACTCTCCCATTGATCTGTTTTGTGGGGATTTAGTTGGTGATGTTTCTGGGGTAAGTAAAAAGAACAAAAGGTTAACCAAAAAGCACCTATTTCATGAAGTAATCACAATAGCTTCCCTGTAGAAAACAAAACAGAAACATTTTAAAAGAACACAGGAGACTCTTAAAAGGAAAGCTAGATTTTAAAAAGTTATAGTACTATATGATCTCATTTATATATTGAATCTAATGAACAAAATAAATAAAATCTAATGAACAAAATAAAACCAGAGACATGTATACATGGAACAGAGTGACAGATCATGGAAGTGGGAGTGGGGAGGGGAAGAACAGAATGAAAGAAGGGGAAGAGATTAGCCACAGAATATATATGCATAACCCATGGGCACAGACAACAGTGTAGTGATGTCCAGAGGGGAGGGCTGTTGGGGGTTGGGTGGGAGTGGGGAAAGGGGGGGAAAATGAGGATATCTATAATAGTGCCAATAATAAAAATAAGAAAAAGGAAGGTGTAATTGCATGACAATACTGTTAGCAATAATGTTACTAACAGAATATTATATTTTGAATATATTTACATATTTGAATGTATTGGCTATAAGAAGCCATAATGTAGCTAGCCCTTACTGAATACACTTGCCAGATGGCATGACATTAAGCATTTTCATACATAATTTTTCTTTAAAAATCAGAACAGCTCTTATGAAAGCAGGTACTATTGATATAGCCATGTCATTTGTGGGGGAGTGAGGCCTAGGGGAAATTAAGTGTTTACCTAAAGGACTCAAGACTCATAATTAGTAATTAGTAATTAGTAGACAGAGTTGGGATTCCAGCCCAGGACTTTATGACTTCCAGAGTCTGGACTCTTCACCACATTCTACATTGATTTTCTTAATTATAAGAAAATGGGTTTTATTACTTTGTTCCTCTTATTATAAAATGTTTCCCTATGTATAAAATAATCAGGTTCTTCTTACTTTAATAATAATTTGTTATAAGATGTTAAATTATTCTAAAAAAATTAATTACCATTTATAACTAGTTCCACTTATGAAAGTAAATATGTAAATATAACATATTTAGATTTTTTAGAAGAAAGATGCTGGATATTTGAGGTTGGTTATTTGTTGTTTTCATGCTGGTTATGTTTTTACTTCTTTATTACAGTGGATTTCTGGGAATAGGGCTCAGTCCTAGTCATCCAGTCATTTCTCTTATACACCTCTTAAAATATTTGCTTTATTTTATTAAATTAATTAATTTAATTTATGTAACACTTTTCTTCTAAAGATTTCAAGATTATATACCAAGAACTTTTAGGCAATAGATAAACATTTGTTAATAGCCAGTATTTTTTTAAGTAAAAGACCATTTCTTTTTCATTAATCCAAGTAGATTTTACCATTCAGTAATAAATTTGTATTTCTGTGTTTGGCTAACCCATTATTGGCTGTGAATTTACTTTTCTAAATGCACAAAATAATTCTTATTACTTTTATTTTCTATTTTAGGCTATTATCCAGAAGTTTCTCTATCTAGGTAGGTAGAAATATGTCTCTATGCTAAATAAAATCTTCCTCTGTCTCTTTTTTGGGTATGACTCACTGCATGTATGATACCACATGTTAAACCCAGTGTGTGACCATTTACTTTGATTAAAAAAATAATTCTTCAGCACAGAGCCCATTTATGGCACAACATTTAAAGATACAATTTGAAATTTGCATGCTCTTCTAGATCATCAGGCCTCTGTGTCCTACACTTATTCTCCACACCAGGCTGCACTACCAAGTTGTGTTTGTGAGAAGGATGTGGGGGAGTCTCGTGGTGGGGGCTTCTTCACGTACTCATGTTCTATCATAGTCATTGAGGGAAGAAATAAAGTGTAGAAGATGCTACTCTGCTTCCCCCTCGGCTGAGTGAGCTCTGAGTCTTGGCTGAGTGAGCTCTGAGTCTCTGAATACAACATGTGTATTTCTCATGGAGCTCGGTTCTCACAGGTCCTTCATCTCACCATGCTGAGTGTGATTCTGGGGTTTAAAGATAAGTGTTTCCTTTAATTTGGTGCTGGAAAGGCAAACTACTCCAGCTGACAGGACAGCAATGGGGGTCAATTCAACTTTATGTGATTTCTGACGTAGGTGCAGAGTTCAGATCCCAGTCCTCAAATTGGATGCATCTTCTATTGGTCCTGTCCATATTTTAAACAATCAGAGAAGGAAAAAAAGGCAGCTTTTTGTATGTTCTGTCTTAGAAGTGCATTTTGCTTTTAAATCTCTCCCAGGGGCAATTAAACTACTTACTGACACGAAAGCACCTTATAAATGATTCCTTGATTTTTCTTTCAGGAGATGACCGAAATATTGAAGAGGTTTACGTGGGTGGAAAGCTCGTGGTTCCCTTCTCAAGCTCAGTCTAAGACCCTTGGCATCTCCGAGTTTTCCTGGTTAACGTGCTTCTGCGCCTCCCTTGTGCCCAGGCGGAGTTAGAAAGTCAAAAATTAGTACCTTGTTCTTGAGATGATTCTCTCTTTCTGTGTCTGCTTAAAGTACTCACTGGACAGATCAAAGGAAGTTGCTCTGATTTTCAATTCTCTGGTTGGAAGGATGCAAAATCTCTCTTTTTCGAGCTGTTCAGACTTATTTAGAGTTTAAACATAAGAATGCTATTACTAGTGCTGTTCTTCTTATGAGATTTAAGTAAAATCTATTTTATATTTGGAAATGTGGAGAGGAAAGATATTCCTAGCAGGTTAGGTATTTTGAGCTAATAATTGTGAAAACTAGATATGGAAAATGAACCAGGGAGTCTATTTTTACAAGGGAGAAAAAGTTAGACTATGGACAAACGTTGGAAAAACCACTTCAGATTGTTTGCAAATCATATACTGAGCTTACTAATGTCAAAGGAGAAGTTGTTGAGTTTTAAAACGTGTTTCCAAGATAGACTTTGTGTTCTGGAAATTTGTCCTTAATGGAATTCGTATTTCAACGATTTGTTGTTGCTGTGCTTTGCCTTTTTTGGGGTGAATTGTCAGAGGCTGAATGCCATATGCTTTCTTAATATAGTTCTGTGCTTCCAAGTGTTTGACAGAAGTTGGCCATTAAAGATTTTAAGTCTCTTAGGAATGTTATTCATATAGCTACATGGCATAAATAATTGTATGTTTGTGTACCTTCAATCACCTTAACCTGTAGCTGCGTGATGCTATCATTACTTCAGTTTTGTTAGAAGAGAAACAAGGTCCATACCCCACTGTTGTGCAGACTGAATGAAGTCCTCACAGCCGAGCGAGTGCCGGGTGTCCCGAAGCTGTCAGCACTGAGAGGGGCGTTTCATCACCATGACTTGCTCTCCCCAAGATCTAAGCTGTAGTTGCTGGCAATTTCTTCATACTCAGATCAATCTGTTAAAACTTTCAAATGAAGGACAAATCCTATTAAAAGAAATATTACAATCTTTAAACCCTGCATATTGAAAGCATTCTATTTTTCAATTTTATCCCATGGTCTTTGTAATTCCTAATGATTTTAGGGCACTGGAATTTTAGTGTAATGAAAAACATATAGGCATATCACTTATTATTTATATCAGCAGGATTTAATCTGTATTAGACATCTAGAAGCATTAAACAAAGAGTATTTTTATGCTTCCTAACTAGTGCTCTTTCCCGTAACCTAGAATTAAAAACCAATTATGACTATGATAAATCCTTAAGAAATAAGAATGTGAATGTTATTTAAATACTTTATTTTTCTCATTTGATTCCAAATAATATAAACTAAGAAGAAAAAGGAGATTTTCTTAGTATTTCCTAACACTCATACCAAGGGGCTTAGGTTTAACCTCTTATCGTTGTTTCATAGTCAAAAATTTTATGTTATGCTGCTAACTCCATGTACACAGAAGTAAGAAGAAAATTCTCCCTCTTGTACAATAATTTTTGTTCTTACCTAATCATGTTAATTCAGTGATAATTCACTCAGCTTTTTTTTCCTGCTGGAAACACTTTTAGATTTGGTCGTGTATAACTACACCTGTTGATAGAACATGTTTGGTCTTTGTTTTTAATAGCACTGTTTTAGGACACTAAGTAACACAGTAAATCCAGCTTCTAGTCTCAGTAACTGTATTTCCAGAATCTCTAACTCCTGAGCCAAGTCAGAGACGGCCTACCGAACTTCTCTCCGTTTCTCTGCAGTGCCAGCGTGTGTCTTCTGTTCCATCTCTCGATCCAGGCGAAAAGACATTGGTTTCCTGGTGGCTAACCCACATCGTGAGTGGGCTTAAGAATTTGGAGGAGTCAGCCCTGGCTGGCGTAGCTCAGTGTATTGAGCGCGGGCTGCGAACCAAAGTGTTGCAGGTTCGATCCCCAGTCAGGGTACATGCCTGGGTTGCAGGCCATGACCCCCCAGCAACTGCACATTGATGTTTCTCTCTCTCTCTCTTTCTCCCTCCCTTCCCTCTCTAAAAATAAATAAATAAAAATCTTTAAAAAAAAAGAATTTGGAGGAGTTGTTCAAGATCCACTGATAGGCAGCAGCTGTCTCCAGCCTTTACAAGATCAATAGTTTTACCTTCTGGTAGGGTGTACATTTTAAGGCTGAATATCAGTTTTCATTTAGATTTAGGACTCATATGCAGTAAATACAAATAAGCACAGTGTCAGAAACAGGAAAAATGGCCATATACAACAGCAACTCTGTCAAATGTCAAATTTAGCCCTGGTAATATGCTAAAACTTAAGTATCTTTTCTAATAAAAATAGAGTGTGTTGACATGTTTACATGTGCTTTGATCTTCCTGAATCACTTAGGACTAATGCGCTTTATTCTCCGAGTGTCATGTTCCCGAATGTTGCATGTGCTTTTTGCAACACTTTGGGCACTAGCTGTACATGGGCCCAGGTGTTCTGCACTCTGAAATGTTGCCTTTGCCTAATGTGGGCTGCCTTCCTGTGTTGTGGAGAGGCAGTATTCCAAACCAATTCTGTTTGTCATTTTGTGTTTGAATATTTTGCTCTCTGACAGGTAAGAAAGAATTAAACTTCTAACCAGATCCCTCACTTCGCCATGCACTAGTTTGCCTCAGGATTCATGGTATTTTTAATGGAATAAATGTCAACGAATTTTATTCAGGCCAAAATTTATTCATCATACATTTTAAAAATATTTTTGCAGCCAGAACACAAAAGCAGGCTAATCAGCTAAGATACATTTAATTTTCCAAAAGAGAGTGAAACATGGGGTGGGGGCATGAGAGGATGTGCTAGTTATGGTAAACTGAGGCCAAGGAGACTCTGCTCTCTTATTCACTCTCCCAGCTTCTCTGATTCCCTTGCAAAGGTTTGAGAATCTAAGAGAATATCTTTGAACAAGCTCCCTTCGTACCGGGAGGAGGTGTTTCTAATTTAATATTGTGAGCATCAAAACCCATTGACTTTCATTTTTACTTTTGTGCAAATTCTACATGGTTAAGAAAGGAAAGTGGTGGGAAAACACTCCTGTTAGGCTGAGCTGTTTTTGAAGCCTGCCCTTGAATATCCCTGTTGGCAGCTGCAGCTGAGATGTCAGGGAGAAAACAATGGGTGTGATATCCAGTGACACATTTTGAAACTTCTCTGCTTTCCAAACTCTCCCTATTTTTAACCTTCTCATCTCAGAACCAGATATACAGAAAGCCTTAAAGGCAAGCCAGGAGGCACGCCGTATCAGTTAACATGGAAGACATCCGGAATCAGATGCTTCTGCAGTCTTCCGGACATCTTTCCATTGTCTGTTCTTCAAAGGTGATGATGACGCCAGAAACACAGATGTTTAAAAAGAGTGTTCTGTGTTATCAGAAGGTGAACTAAGAAGTGTGTCATGGGCAGTATCCTGACATGACTTTTAAATGGTGAGGGTTATTGTGAATTTTTAATATTTTTTTTCTTTTCCTGAAGGCTTACAAGAGACATTTGCAGTTTCTAATTGACCTAGCCAGCTTAGGTACAACTTTGAACCCTAACACACTTGGATGTCTCTAAAGGAAAAGCACAGAATGAAGTGCACAAACAAGTGGACACTTGGGAACCAGGCACCGGTCCCCACATGAGTTTTCATGCCTGGGCTCTCCTCCCTGTTTCTCTCCAGCCTTGAGAGTGAGAGTGAGAGCTCTGAGGGGTTAGTTCTGGTCCAAATTTAGTGAAATGAAAAGGTAACAGGCCAGTGATGAAATTAAATAGAAATTCCAAGGTTGCTTTCCCAGTCCTCAGGGTTCAAGTGACTGAGTGCCAGATGTTTATGTGGCAGTAACTTACCTGTCCTCTTCCCACTCAAAAGCCTGTCAGAGAGCATTCTTTATTGAAAAGAACTTCATATTATTGTTAAATGCCTGATCGCTGCTCTGAAGAGTAAATATATATGTGTATGTATTTATGGAGACATTTTTTCTCAATATTTGAATGGTTAGTTTATTGTTTACATGCAGAGTGAGCTCCTTTGTGCTTTGGAAAAAAATAAATGAGATTTTGTGTTCGATTATTTTTTATTGTTGTGAGTTCTGTCAATATGAAAGAAGGAGATGGATCTTACAATGTTTTTCTTCTCTTAACATGAATTAAAAACAACAGAAACAGAATAGAATATTTAGCTGTGGGCCAACATGTATTGTTCAACCTATCATAGTCATTATACATAGCTTTTTAAAGTTAAGCTATAATGTTCAGGGCTTTTAGAATCAGATTGCTATTGGTTTTGATTTCAGCATAGTTTATATTTTATTTTATATATTTATTTAAGCCACAGTCCAGAGTCAGGATGTACTTGAACATCAAAATTAGTTCACACATATGTATGTACATGTGTGTTTAAAAGAACAGTCTCAAAAATAATACTTTTCCTGTCTGTGATGCCCTGAGCTATTTTCTATACTATTTTATTCTGTTCTGTTCTGTTCTATTTTATTTTATTCTGTTTAATTATTTTTGGTTTCTTAAACCAGCATGGAAGCAATTTCCAGTTTCTTTTGAGCTGTCTGCTTAAGTCTCCAAAATGACATCCTGTGACTCAGGCCTGACATGAATGCCTACTTGGACTCACGAGGACTAAATAAAATAACGTGCAGTCAGCACTTCAGATAGCATCAGGGACAGAGTGAGTGGCCACTGTATAGTTGTTATTTTTTAAATGAAAACAGGCTATGTTTTAGAATCCAAATGCAGTGATATTACAGATCTCTCTCTGTATAAAAATATTCTATAAGGATTAAATCTGATTTTTTGGCACTGTTATGTTTATTTTTATTTATGCATGAAGCATAAGAGAGTAGTAGATTTAGTCTATAAATTCACTCTCAATGTTCTGAGCAACTTACTAAGCACCTTTTTTATCCCAGAGCAGACCAGATCAGGTGCATTCGGGGTGGCATGGCCATAGACAGCACTTTTTCTTTCTTCCTAGAGGACAACTTAGTTAAAATATTTTGAAGAGAATTTTTATGTGCATAATCTTGCAAAATGTGTGCCTAATTTACACATTGTAGGCCCTGAATTCTACAATAGATAATTAATAGGCACATGCAAAGTCTTGTGTAGTACTAAATTCAGAATTTAAATAAAATAAAGTTTAGACATAAAATAAATACCTGCCAGAAACAAAACAGGGCCTGTGGTAGGGTGTTTTAAGACTCAATGAAGCCACTCAGTTAAAGACACAGGACCCACAAGCAGTTGTCACCAACAGGAGGAGGGTTGTGTGTGTGGGTGTGTGTTTTAATCTTATTTTAACATGGGATAAGGGCCCTGGGTGGTGTGGCTCAGTGGATTCAGTGCTGGCCCGTGAACCAAAGGGATCACCAGTTGATTCCCAGTGAGGGCGTATGCCTGGGTTGTGGGCTGGGTCCCCAGTAGGGGCTCTCGAGAGGCAACGGCACATTGATGTTTCTGTCCCTCTCCCACTCCCTTCCC